CTCTCTACAGCTAGATACCCGGTGTATTTCCAAATAGAAAATCACGCCATATGACAGCGTCTGTAGATAGATTTCGGAATCAAGCACCTACTTTCAAAATTGGAGATAAAGCATGGCTTCTTCGACGGAATATCAAGACCAAGTGATCATGTGATAAGTTGGACTATCGAAGATTGGGACCATTTATCATCTAAAAGCAAATCAATCCAGTGGCGTACCGTCTGGAATTATCGGCTTCTATGAAGGTACATCTAATCTTTCATGTTTCTTTGTTGGAGCCTTATCGAGAGTCGTCTTTTCCTGGAAGAGTGCAATATCCGCCACCTAGTATTGACATCGAGAACCACGAGGAATACGAGGTTGAAAAGGTGCTGGATTCACGATGAAGGTGGGGCAAGTTGGAGTATCTTGTTCATTGATGCGGCTACGACATTAATGAGCGAATGTGGGAGCCAGCTGAAAATCTCGCCAATGTGCTACAAAAGGTACAATAGTTTCATCAATAACATCCTCATAAACCTAAGCCGGTTCGACGATAGCTTCTTTTTGAAGCTTTCTCACCCAAGAATATAAGAAAGGGGGAGAGCACCACCAAAATTCATAGTTCATGTAGTTATTTTCTCGAAGATAAAATAGAATTTTTTCAGTAGCGATAGTTTGGTCTTCTGATATGGATAGCCAAGAGATAGATACTATGCCAGTCAGATTATCTCAACCGACTAGCTCACGAAGGCGACCCCGAGATGAAGAACCACCTACGCCACGACGACGATGGAGGATACCGACTAACCGATCATTGGTGATTGTATTTGAGTCCGAGTCTGCTTACGATGGTCAACGAGAAGGTGTATTTGTAGGACAATTTCACAATGAAGACACGAAAGTTCATGCTTGGTCAGAAGTTGAAGGAGTGGGCCACTACCGTTGGCTTCAAGGGCCGATGAACCACTTGCCTCGTGAACAGCAGTTGGAGTTCATAACAGACGTTATGCGACAAATCTTTATTTTCTTGCGTTGGTACTGATTAACAACAACATTGCTTCTCAAAGACCTCGAAGCTAAAGGAGGGGATGATGTTAGGAACATAGTCCTTAGAACCTTCTAGAGACAAGTTTTTAGAACCTTCTAGAAGCAAGTCTCTGAAACCTTCTAGAAGCTTCTTAGTTGGTAGAAGATGTTAGGGACATAGTCCTTAGAACCTTCTAGAGATAAGTTTCTAGAACCTCCTAGAAGCAAGTCTCTGGAACCTTCTAGAAGCTTCCTAGTTAGTAGAAGTTGCATGAGAAGCTTCCTAAATAGGAGTATATATTGGAATCGAGGTTGAAGAGTTCTTCAGTCTTGACAACACATCTCTTGGAGCTCTAGCTCACCTCTCTGGTGTTGTTCTTTTATTCATCTGATTAAACTAATTCTTGCCAGTTCTTCTTGAACTTCTTGTTAGATCTCGAGTCTGTATTTCTGTGTTCGTGACACTAGGTCCTAGGAAGCTTTTTAAAAAGTTTTTATGAAGCTTGAGAATAAAGTAAGCCTAAGATCCTTCTTCAGCAACTTTGTAAATCATCTAAAGCCTCCTAGAACCTTCTAAGACCTCCTATGACCTTCTAGAACTTTCTTAGAATCTACTAGAACCTTCCAAAACCTTCTAGAATCTCCTAGAACTTTCAAGAATCTTCTTTAATTGTATGTCTGTAACAACTATTGACAGACTCAAATAAAATATTTATTATTTAAAACTTATAGTATTATGTAATATGATGTCTTGTTTAAGAATGTTCTAAGCTTTTGATTATAAAAAATAAATTAGAAATTAAAACAAGCAAAGATCTTAATAATCCTAATAGAATCCTAAATAAATCCTAATTGAATCTTATAAATCTTAGTCAAACCTTAATCATATCTAAAAGAAGTCTTAAAGAAATTCTAAAAAATCATAAAGAAATCTTAAAGAAATTATAAGTAATCTTAAAGATATATAATAAAAAAATCCTAAATAAATATTGAAGAAGACTTAAATAAATATTAAAAAATAAATTCTAATCAAATCCTAAATAAATCCTAAGTTTTTTTAATATAATCCTAACAAAACCTAAAAATCTTAATCAAAATTTAATTAAATCTAATCAATTTATACCTATCTAAAGTCTTCTTTCTAACCTTGATCTTTAATCAAAAAAAGAACCTTGAAATATTTGTAGGTATATAATTTTATGTCTTAGGATGCGATTTTGAATTTAGTTTATAGTTGGTCCTTTCTAGATATCAATTCTCAGTTTTTTAAGATAATTTTTGCTATAAATTACTCTTAACTCCTTCTTAAAATTATTTATATTATTCATTTTTTTAATCTTTTTTTTCTTTATATATAGCCGTACAAAATAAATAGAAGCATTTTTTACAAAAATAAAATATTAATACTAAATATTTTTACTACCTTCCTATCTTTTACTTACATTTTGTTACTATATTTTTCAATGAAGTTCTTCTATAATAGAATAAATATTTTATTATTTCACCATATAATTGTATTATAATACAACAATGGTATTATATTATATAAAATTTTTCTTGGAAATGCAGCAAGCATCTTGTTGTAGAAGAATATAATCTTATCTTAAAATTAAATTTATAACTAAAAAAAACAATATATATAAGATATTTAAAAATATCTTGGAAATCTTGAACAATATTAAGAATCTTATCACACTTTATTCAACTTCAAATAAACTTTAACAATCAAAAAACAAATCCTAATTAAATTCTAAAAAAATCACATAAAATCTTTAAAAAAATTAAAAATTAAAAATCTTAAAGAAATCACAAAAAATATTTAATTTTTTTTAAAGGAATATCAATCAAGTCCTAAATAAATTCTAATAAAATCCTAATTCAATCCTAATATAATCCTAAAAAAATCTTTAAAACCTTAATTAAATCTCAAATAAATAATAACAAATCTTGGTCAAATCTTAAGTAAACATCATAGTAGATTTCAAACCTCAATAACATTTAAATTATTATTTGATCTTAATTTAAACTCACCATACATCTCAATTTATTAATTGATAATAAGCACACAAAGTTAGAAGAGAATCTAATCTATAAATTAAGATAAAATGTTCTTCATCTACTTAAGTATTAACTATTTTATTTTTCTAATTAATATGCAAAACTTTTAGCTCCAATATCTCCTTCTTGAATTGTTAACATATTCTCAAATTTTTCATGAATATAAATGAAATAGTCAACCATGAGTACATAAAAAAATTATTCCAATTCAACTAATAGAATGCTCAAAATCTAAAAAATCTTCATTCATCTTTAGAATCTAATTTCTAAGATCCTAACTCACTTGAACTTTAATTGCTTTTGATGTAACTATTAAATTGTGCTTAAATTAACAACTTACTTTTAAAATATTTACAAATCTATAAAATTTCATCTATGTATTTACTTCAAAACTTATAAAAACTACCAAAATAAAATTTTCTTTTTATTCTACAAAAAACAAAGCCATCCAAAACAACCTTGACTTTGCAAACCTCTCACAAGAATAATATGCACTTAAATCCCTCAAAACCAATGTTTATAGAAAAAATTATTAAGTTTCATCTCAAAACTTGTACTTCAATCAACAAAAGAGCCTTCTATTTGCAGTAGGCACATGGTTTGGTGCTTCAAGATCTAATTTCTACATTGGTTCATAAATCGCCCTTCTTGGATATCATTCTAAGATTTATTTGGCTATTAATTATACCTTATTAACTTAAAAAAAATCTTTAAAATATCTTGTTTGATTTTAATAAAAAAAATAAAAAATAAAATAAAAATCTCTTTAATAATCTTAATTAAATCTCAAAAAAATCTTAAGAGATGACAAAGAAACCATAAATTAATCATAAAAGAACTTCAAAGAAATTCTAATCAACCTTCAAGAAATCCTAAATAAATCCTAATTAAATTCTAATTAAATTCTAATTAAATCCTAATTAAATCCTAATTAAATTCTAATTAAATTCTAATTAAATTTCAAGAAAAATTTTAGTCAATTCCACAATACTCTAATCAAAATCCTATCCAAATTTCAAGAAAATCCTTAAAAAAACCTAATCAAATTCCCAGTAAACTTTGTAGTAGATTTAAAATTTTAATAAATCTTAATTTAACCATTAATCTTTATTCTAAATTTTAAGAGTTCTTTGTCTACTAATTGAAAAGAACCATAAAATTTTATAAGAAAATTAAACTTACAAACTTAACTTAAGTATCTTCTACACTTACCATTTTTTGGCATATGCCAATTATTCTTCAATATATTGATGTAAGATCTTTATCTTGGTTTTTAATTTGTTCTACTACTTTTATTTTAATATAGCTTAATAAAAATTTTAAAAAATGAAACTTTATCAAATTAAGTGCATCCACTTCTTTATCTAAATGAATTGATTTACTTATTTATTTTAGATATCTTTAATTTTATACCATCAATTGCTTATAAAAAATATGTGGCATTGTTATAGACTTTCTTCACAATACATGGTCCAAATCAATGTTTAAAAAACTTTTATAATATATTTAGTTGGTTATCCAAACTATTATCATAGGCTAAAATCCAATCGCTTTCTTCAATTGCCTTAGGTCATAGTCAATGTTTTTAATAAATTTTATATATTCTTTTTTCTTACTTCTTTAAGTTATTTCATATTTTTTATTAGTGACACATGGAATACAAAAAGAATCTTCATTAACTCTAATAATTGTAACGGATTCTATGGCTCTACTTTTTCTTATCCTTCTATTGGAAATACAGTGAAAAGAATCCAAACTCAAGTGATCATTTCGAACCTTTTTCCCTGTTGATTATGTCTTTCCGAACCCATTTGCCAGCACCAGAAAAACAAACTTGTATCAAAAGTTTGCTTTTCACTCTTTTTCACTCTTTTTTGGATGAATAACTCATATGATGTTTTCCATCACTTTTTGCAAGCTTTTTTGCGACCGGTGCCGTGGAGTTGCTTAAACACACAACAGCCATGGCGTAGGGTAACTATTCAGTGGATTGGGTTCATGGTGATGTGAAGCTCCTGGTTGTTTGAGGGTCAAGGGTTTTTGAGGGGTTTAGTAAATGCATAATTTTCACAAGAACAACCATCTTCTGCGAGTATCATACTAAAGAAGGAGATTCTTCAGTTCGCAATTGTTGTGTTTTTCAGGATCTTGGAATTGTTCTCAGTTTTGAAGTTATTGTGAGTTGAAGCAAGTGGGTTTTCAGAGGAATTTGCAGCTCTTGTCAATTCTACTTAAAAGTTGAATCTTGTTCTGAACTGGGGCAACGACGAAGTTTGGAATAGCAAACCTCATGAAAATGTAGTTGCGCTAGATTGAATTGACGGGTAGTGAGGGGTGAAAATCTTGACCCTGATACCAGGATGGCGCTGTGCGTGGGAGTTAGTAGCTGTGCCCACATTCCTGGTGGAGCCTTCTCCTACAGCGACGTCAGGTATTGCGGCCCCAGGTTGAGAATTGTGTGCGCGATTCAAAGCCGAGAAGATGCCGCTCGAAATACCTTGAAAGCTCTCAAATCTCAGAATCACCGCCCTAAGAAATGGCTTGGACAAGTAAGTGCAGTGTTCATTAGTCTCCATTCTTCCTTTCACTGTGAAATTGATTTTCCAATCGAAACACAACCTCATTTGTGCTACAACAGGACCGGTTTCCTTGCCGAACACGCTCTAACACAATTCAACACAACCTTTGAGATATCTTCGAGTGTTTCCGGCAGTGTAATTTGCATGCGCCCACACAAACCTACACCAGGAGCCATATCCCGCTCACTTTCATGAATCCATGTTGGGGTCAAATAATTAGGGTTTATGCCTGCATAATTCGTGGCAGCGCTCTCGTCTTTTGTGTAATTTGTTGCCTCTCTAAATTGAGATTCTCTTTGGAATTCTGTTCTCTCTGGACAGCTGGTTATTTACGGGAACCAATCTGTGGTTGTGTTGTTTTGGTGTACAGCATTACATGCTAAACGACCAAGTGAATATTGACATGGTTGAGGCTGCGAAGATTCAACCAGGCGATCTTGTACTGGAAATAGGTCCTGGAACGGGCTCTTTGACCAATGCTCTTGTAGAGGCTGGAGCCGACATTATTGCTGTAGAAAAGGTTTCATCCTAGCCATATTCTTGAAAGCATTTTCATATCATTGGTTTTAATATCAGTTTGTTCGCTGTAATCAAACAGATGTATGCATTAAATGCATCTCTCTCTTCTGAATTCGCAAAATGTCAATAGCATTTGATTTTAGGCAAAGAACCTGAAGGTTAAGATTCAGTCTGTCGAGTTCACAATAAAAGAGATGACGGACTTTCCTCCACCTGCAGGATCCCGACATGGCTGCGTTGATTACTGAACGGTTTGGGCACTGTGGTCAAGTTGAGGTATGCATCACAATCAAGTCATTTCAAATTTCTTTAGCTTGCATCAATAGTTCCTGGATCTGACTGGTTCCATTTGGAGGACAGATCATCAATGAGGACTTCGTGAAATGGCCAGCGGCCCTGTACATGCAACAAGCTTTAAGAAAACGCTTTGGAGAATCAGAGCCTCCTCCCAGAGCCAAGGTACCCAATAGGGAACCGTGCCGTTCTTAATTACTCAATTTTTCAACAGATACAGGGTTACATTGACACTTGGAATTTGTTTCTTTCAAGACTTTGCTTAAACTTAGGGAATTGAACAAATGCATTTCTGCAGGTGATAGCCAACTTGCCTTTCAACATCACCACCCAAGTTGTGAAACAGCTTCTTCCTCTTGGATGTACATTTTCCCATATTATCCTTCTTCTGCAGGTACGCTGATCTCTTGGCCCTTAATGTTGAACTTCTTGTGTCTATATTCTTAGTTGTGAGTTTCAGTATATTTCTCATAACCCACTGTTGGGAATGATGTATTTGAAATGCTCCTGGCGTACATCATGAAGCATATCGATTTGCAGATGTTGTTGTGAAGGCTTATGTTAAACAACTCTTCAGGACGAAGCTGCGATCCGGCTTGTGGACGCCTCTCCTGATGCTGAGGAGTATCGACCCATCAGCATTCTTATCAATTTCTTTTCAGGTTATTACAGTACAATCTGCTATTGCACCTTCTCTTGACATGCTAATGACTCTGTACTTCTAAATTTTTTGGGGGTAGCATGTGATACTATCAAAAGGGCTGTGTTCATCTTCGCTTGTGAATTGTGTTGGGTTTCGCTGGAGTGCTGCATTGTATGTTAGCAATTTGTTCAACCAGGAGTTGCGGCTACTTGGCATAAAGCTGTTATTGATCGAAATAGTTGAAGCGTGAGAGAGAGGCTCACCTGATATTACAGCGCATAACCATGATATCGATGCTTTCTTGCAGTTCCAGAATACAAATTTAGAGTTGAGCGCGACAATTTTTTGCCACCACCAAAAGTGAGTTCTTATCTAGCAGCTCCATTCTCCACCTTAGCCATTTGATGAGATTTCTGGAAGAGAATCAAATTACTGGCTGAGAGACAAGCTGTGTGTGGTTCAATGCTTTGTGATGAAGTATTGACAACTCCAACAAAGACAATCCTGTGTTTATTCGATGTATGCCAATGTTGCCGCTTCTATTCTGGGCTTCATCACTAGCATGTGTTGGCACCTCACTTGCCAGGTAGATGCGGGTGTGGTGTCATTTGCCCTTAAGCAAGAGTCAGAATACCCTCAGGTCTCATCAATCAAATCTTTTTTCACTATGGTACGTATACATGTCGGAGTTGGGCGTTAAGCATTCCAACCCAAAACCTACATTATTCCTGTTTATTACAAGTTAAGTTATTTTCAGAACAGAAGTTGAAGTGCCTAGTGTTTAACATACCTTTTTGCGATACATTTTCAGGTTAACTCAGCATTCAATGGGAAGCGTAAGATGCTCCGAAAGTCGCTGCAACATCTTCACAGCCCTGAAGCCACAAAGTCTGCATTGACGTCAATAGGCCTCTTGGAAACTGTGAGTAATGTTTCTTTTAACTGTTTTTTGTTAGATAATACACATAAACATCTATTGGCTTGCAATTATTTGTGCAGAATGTGTTTCTTGTTTTTCCGCCGCGTTCTTATTCGACAACTATTTTTGAACTGAGGCCACATTTCAGCCATTGATATGGATAACCCATTTCAATCTGGTGATTGATGATATTTGCGATACCTTCTACGAGGTAGACTGCTGGATTGCCCTTTTTAACCATGGTTGGTGCTGTGACTGTAGGCGAGGCCAGAAGAGCTGACGTTAGATCAATTCGTGGCGCTGCACAATACCTTGAATGATCCAGAGACCATTTAATGGATCTCGCATTCGTAACAAGCTTTTCGCACAGCGACCACAAACGGAGATCTGCACATAAGGTCCAATTTTACTCGGGGTATTATCGCTACGAAGTTGGGCTAGATGAGGATTGTACTTCAGATACGATTTGGCGCCAGAAATAGAGATATGGAACTTGAGCAGTGTACAATGATTTTTTTATTCTAGCTTCCTCATTCTGAAACTCTCTCCTCGGATGTAGACGTTTTAACCCTTTTCATGCAGACTGCTTTTTTGCTTTCGATACCTTGCGTTTCGTAATAGAATATTTGTTTGATACCCCAATCTCCCGTCCAGGCCGGGGCTTCACCAATTATGACAAAGTAGAGCTGTGTGCTGCCCTTCGTCTATATATTTTTTCTCAAGAGTTTCACATGTGTTTTGTGTCTGTCTTACCTGAAACGCATGTTTCAGTCACTGTTGGTGAGGGTTGATTCTTGTGAAGGACCAAAGGTACCACGTCGAAAATGATCAATGAAGTTCGTCTTGAAAATGAAGCTGTATGTACAGGTTTTTAAAGTTTCGTGCCAAATCTGGTTGCACACTGTCAAGGAGGAACTGGTTACCAACCAGCTAATTTAATCCAAGGCTAGCTCCTGAGCGAGTCCGTCATCGCGGAGCCTTCCAGTTTCAAGTCTCGCTCTTGTTGTGTCGTCAACTTCATGCGAGGGATTGGCTGGATCAAGAGCCCGGAGTGTGTCTCTACGAAGCAATCCGGTGGACAGATATGGGATTGCCATCCCGTCACCCCATCGGGAATGGCCACAACGCGGAAGATGTGCGCCATAAGTGTGACCATGGTCTTGCTCTCGGCGATAACCTCGAATACGACCGTGTCGTCCTCCTCCAGACAATGATCCAGAGCGAAGTTGCGCCAGCCCCGGCCGGAGAGGTAGCCACAAGCCGCGTTCCAGGAGCAAAACCACACCTTCCACTCCGTATCACATATTCTTGTTTCCTTGTTCCCCGCTGGCATGTAACACTGTCCAAATTTCTTCGGCATTCCCTGTTTATTGCGGTCAAAACCAATCACGGCCACAGCTCAGTACCTTGGCGAGATTGTCAGAGTGACTTGGCTCCCACCATGTGAAGGGAATCGAAGCTCACCATGACAAAATTGCGATAGACGAAAGATTGTCGCATGACGATCACGATGTTCGTGGCTTCGATTCCGGAAGCGAACGAGTGGGCCGCAGTGAGCGCGTCGTCTTTCTCAGCCTGGGTCACGGGTTGTCTCCTGGAAATGAAGATGTCGCGCATTTGTCGTGAGGGGCCGTTGAGAGACGTAAAATCTTGGGGGAGAATCTGATGCTTGAAGGGACGTCCGCGCTTGCGCTTCGCCAGAGGTTGGACTTTATCTCTCTGCGCATGGCTGTTTACGTTGAGAGGGGTTCTTGGTTGCTGAGCTTCGCCAATTGGGTATTTCCGAGGTCGCCCTCTCTTGCGAGTCGGAGCATTCTGTAAATGATTTTCAAGACGGTTCTGCTTTTCCTGATTTAGATGGTCTGTGAGAGTAGGTATATCCTCAGCGAAGAAGCCATTCAGGTCGACGTCGTTGCTGCCGGGGTAGTTCTGGATTTCATCGGCTATAATCGTCTTGCCCGTCGCTGTGTGGCTCAAGTTTTGGAGGCTCACATCTGTGTCCTCTTCTTCCTCCTCGGAAACATTGTTGTGTCTGTCACGACAGTAAGCACCCCGCTGCAAAAGACTAAGAGAACGACCTTCATCGCTGCCGTAAATCGCTCCGCCATCTCTATCGAAGCAGGATCTCTCTTCAATGTAGTCACTGCTCTGCAGCGGCTGTGCCCGCGGGCTCTTCGTTATGATACTTTCTTTGCAGAGAGGATTCTGGCTACCTTCCGAAACGATGCCATGCACTGGCAAATCTGTGAGATTTGTCTTACGCAGCTTCGCTTTCTCCACATATGCTCGAGCCAGGGCCCGGGTTTGGGTTTGGCGCCGCTTCGGTGATTGCTGCCCTCGGAGATTACCTTGTTTCATCTTCAAGGTAGAGCATGTTCTGTCGTGCCTCCCGATCTCCAAAGAGTCTTACTCTGAATCCACCATTCCTGTCCAAGAGGGCGGTGGATGGATGTTTCCCGCAGGCATCGACTTGCTTCTCTCGTGTGTATCGAGACTCGTGCCCTTCGATATTTGTGTCTCTCTCAATTGATTTTGGAGTACTACGTGGTTGTCATCGGTCGAATGATGTGGGCGTCGCAGGTGCACTCCAACAGTGTCACGAAGTTCCTCTGGCGGAACTCCTACCCTACCTTCTCTCTGCTCGTAGCAACTTCCGAACGAGAGATTTCGCGGCTCTTCCAAGCGTTCTTCAGATTCATTTTCTCGGAATCTAGAAAGGCCTTCCAAGGCCGGCATCGAGTGAATTTGTTGCTCTGTCACCGCTCCTCTTCTCGGTCTCAGGACCTTGTTCGACGGCGCCTTGACAATTCCTGCAGATTTCTCACATCCTGACGACTTGCTGAACACGTGCACTGTGAACCGTTTAATTTCCACGAGTGAGAAAAAGAGCATGTCGCCAAGTATAAGGCTGTTGTCGTTGGAAAACTCTCGCCATCCATAGTAGAAGCCGTCCACCGAGTACATCACAGGCCATTTCCAGCCGTCTGCATTCTCGAGAATCATTCTCTGACGATCGACGTTGGGCAAGTAGCGGCGAATAAATGCCTCTGGCACAGTCTGTCCCACCGATCAATAAACCTAGTATCAGAAAATTCCCAATCCATGGAAACATTGCGGAAACAAGGTTTTGAGAGGAAAAATCACGGAGGAAGATCACCATCCAGCAGTCTTGTCCCCCATCGACCGAATGCTCGTCCACCGAGATGTAGAAACAAGGATGGAGCAAGGGGGTGCGGCTCCTGTAGTTGCCATGCACTCTCATGCACGTACGTACGCAAGGTTGACATGCGATACCTATGGAATCTTCCAACGAATTCACTGAAAGGCCGACCTGCAAAAATGAACACCACATTTTCGATAAGACAAGATGTCGCGCATTCGACCTGAATGTCAAAATTCTGACTTTCGATCCGGAGTTCCATAACGTAGCTTCTGCGTGGGAGGTTTTTGATTACATCCGCCGTCATGAATTGGCGAGGGTGCTCCAGTGGTCTACGTAGTTGAAAAATGTAGAAATAAACGGCGGACATGTAGCTCGCCCGGAGGCGGTTGTTCCATGCTACAAAGATCCCGACTTCAGGCTACAACTCTATCAACGACAAGTTCATACACTGCTCCATCCCAATGTTTCCCTGACCGCAGGCAATCCGGAAGCGATCCAGTTCGACCCTGAAAACCATGACACAGGAAGCACGACCTTTCTACAACTCTATCGTTGGAGCCAGAAAATCACGTTACCAACGCAATTGCGTCAAGTGAAGAAGCCGTAATGGTACCTGATCGCTGTGCGCAACTAGTCTCTCATGAGGAGAACCAGCTTCAGCACCGCCAGGCACCATCGATGTCACAGGCACAGGTGTATTCTAGCCGCCAGCAGCTCAACACTGATCGTCGCACCACCTAATCCTAACACACTTCAGACCTGACTAACGATCACCTGGAAAGCGATGCAAATTGCGAAGGAATCAATCAACGTCAAGACGCTCAAGAGCAGATGCAACTAACCTAGCACATCCGACTGCATGTACCGAAAATCAACAGCTCAACAGCAGCAAGCAGGTGAGAGAGTGAGAAACACAGCTATCTGAAACCGAATTTGGCATGTCGTAGCCAAATGGATCCACACTCTCCCGAGAAAGAGAGAGATCTAGAAGCCTTTCTCTTCTGTAGTGATTGATACTAACAACAATCAGTCAGTCTCGATGCAAAACTCAACGACCACAACTCCCATGAAGCTGGTCCAGGGCTGTTAAGTAAAATATTCGGTGGCAGGATCCTTCAACGAAGCGGGAGAAGCGAGATAGGGAGAGAGGGGGGGTGGGATAAATATGCTGCAAATAGGGTTGCAAGACGGAATGGATGAATAGGGGTGGATGAATGTGAGTCTGTGTGTCACCTCTCCCCCACCCCGCCCTCATCGCCCCATCAGAGCAGACATCAGAGTGAGTGCGAGAGTCCTTTTCAAATGGAGCGCGCCGCAACATCATCATCATCATTGGGCGGGGGCGGGCTTCTTCGCATCAATTCATTCAGCCAGCCTGTCACATCATCATCGCCGGGAATGTTGACCGCCTGGATGAATGAATGATACTCGTTTATGGATGATATTCGTTGTTGGATGATGGTGGATGGATGGGTTTTGGTTGTGGATGGACGTTATTCTATGTGTTGTTCTATTTCAGACATTAATTTGATTATTCTCAATGTGAAAAAAATGAAATATATTTTAAAAAATAATTTTTTTTTAATTATAATTATATATATATATATATATATATATTAAAAAACTATATATGAACTGTAAATATTTACAGCTTTTACTCTATTTTTCACTCTGACATGTTTAAAATTCAGAAATACGATATTTTTGAAATCGAGGAAATATATAAAATTATATTCTTTATATTGAAAAATTATTGATGAGGATAAAAATCTTATGCTTTGTTTAATTTGATTTGATTTTTCTTTTTTCTTTTTTCTTTTTTGCTTAATGAGAATCCTAACCTAAAAATATGGCTTCAGATGTTTCTATTTCATTGCAGAATTTGAAGTAATTTTTTAAATGAATAAAAATTAAAACCAAGACGAAAAACAATTCACTAAATTATTTCCTCAAAAAGTATCTGGTGTTGTCCACGGTTACTATTTTTAAAGCCATAATTTTGGAAATATTTAATTTTTTTCCCAGTACATCAATAAAAAATAATTATTATATAAATTATCTGGCGTAATTTTTTTCCATTTATTCTGAATGTTTGCTTATCGTGACTTGTATAAAAGTTTGTACAACCTTAATATTTTTTATAATGAGATTTAATGGATCACATTGATTTAATTCTTAAATGGCTTAATGTTTATCAAAGATTTTATATTATTTTCTTTTCATTTAGATTAAAAATCTATACGAATCTTGTATAAATTAAAAATGTGATATTGTATTAATCTGATTTATATTATTAGCATGAAAGACTGTGATTATAACACCATAGAACAATAAATACTTTCATTGGTACTGTACATGAAAAATTATACTCTTCCAACTAATAAATATTAGATCTAATCAAATTACTGGTTTTTTTAGTTTTTTAGCATTTTCTTTATTATAAAAAATATTTTGAATTATTTTGCTAATCGTAGTAGAATGAATTAACTGTTTTGAAGTGTTCTTTCAATGATAGTCTCCTGCAATATTGTATATTTCAATAGAGTTATTGCACTTCAACATAAATGAGAATCACAACTTATTCTTGAATTCTTTAAATGCTTTGAAATATGATTTATTCCAATCTTGACTAGCTTTTCATATTAATTCATTTCATGATTAAAAACTTTCAAAATATGTAAATTAACATTTTACCACAATTTCTTAAACGCCAAAATAACGTTTTTCTTATTTAAGAAATTAAAATTTTAAAATTTGACAGGTTTATTTACTCTTAATCTTAAAATGCCTTTATTTTTCATCTTATATATATATATATATATATATAAGAACTTCATCACTTGTTATGACATTTCTCAAGAACTTCATTTCAAGTCACATAATTTTTTTCTTGACTTAATTGAAAAATAAATAAATAAAATTTAAAAGTTTACTAATATAAAACACCACAAGGTTTGCAATAATGTTAATAATTTTAAAGTCTATAAATTTCTTTAAAAAGTTGAACAATTTTAAAACAATCTGTATAAAATTTTGAGATTGTTATTTTGTACAACACATGGTTATTTTTAAATATTTATTCACAATCTAATTTTGGTGGTATCAAAGCCAATACAATTAAAGCACCGAAATGATGAAAAAATCACTAAAAGAATAATAATTATTAATCCATTCAAAACAACCAGATTATTCTATACAATTTCTTTTTATAATTTTAAATTCTTATAGAGATTATTAGAGCAATGCTATTTCTTCACAATATGTTGAAATTAGATAAGTGAAGAATTCATTGGCCATAACTTTATAGTTTAGTAACTAGAATGTTTTGTTTCATTTAATAGAATTCATATTTTAAAAAATTAGCCAAAGGTGTTTTACATGGTTACTAAAGGTAGGTTGGATGCCCCATTCCTAGCCATTATTAAATTTGTTTTTAAACATGAATCTCAAATTTGAAGCCCTTTTGAGCATATCTCTTCATCATTTAGTACATTTTTATTTCCTAAATGAATCAAACTCTATTGATTTTGATATGGTTTTTATAGAATTAAAAAAAAAAAAAAAAAAAAAAAAAAATTTTACAATACAAAAATATTACTATTACTTGTCGAAGATTTCCAACAACTCAGAATGAACAGAAAAACGGCGAAGGATGAGAAGGAGGACGGCCATGAGCCCTTGGGACCGTATTCTGCGCATAATACTCTACGCTCTATCGGTATACGTCGTCACCTCCTCGTGCTGCCGATGTCGGTACGCCATCTTGGTTCGGTCTCTACCTCAGCTTCGGAGATTTCGTTCGGTGGAGGTGTGGTACGGTAGGTTCGTAGCTGCCTCGGTTTCCAACCCACCCGGATTCCTCCCCTCCCGAGGTTTCAAGCACTTCTCGTTTAAAGCCATTTGACGCATGGTTTAGGATTTCAGGTTCTTGGGGTTTAACGGCGCAATGTGTGATGTCATGAATTTTGCACAATGAGTCCGATACGGACTGAACAGTACACAATAAGTTTGGGTTTGGATTCTCGGTGCTGGAGATGGGAAGTGGTTGGAGGAAGGAGCTGATATCCTGGACCTGGAGTCGAGTTTTTGGGGTGCTGAGGAGAATTTTGAGGTTTCGCACACATGTCGCGGAAGGAGTGGAAGAAGCGGACACGGAATCTGCTTTGGCGGTCGGTCCCTGATTCTCGACTCTCACAGATATGAGTCATGCCAAGATTGTATCAGTCCAGTGGTCGACGGGAGTCTGATCGAAACTTGATCAGAGACTAGACTGTGGACTGAAATCGTGTTGCTGAGAGCTGAAACAATCTAAACCTCAATGAACGTGACACCCGCTCATCCAAACCCTTTACGGTGACGATTCAGCCCTCGAGATCTTGCAAGTGTGATGAAACAATGAAATTAGTTGAATCGTGGTTGGAGCAGAAACAGCTGCATTGAGTTGGATCGTTAAAATGGGTTTTAATTGAAGTTGGGAGTGAGAATGCATAATGATAGGGATTCGTGATTCATACTCATCTTTAAGCACTCCACAGCTTCAAGTGTCCACTGATCAGAAGTTTGGCGTCAGCGGGACTGTCGATGCGGCGCCACGGTTTAGTTAGTTTCAGTGAGCAAATTCGCTAATAAAATTGCAGTTTCAGGTTTTACTTGCTCCGTTGATGCCCATTTTGCGTGCGCTTAGACGAATATAATCTGTTTTTCTAAGTGTTTTAATTGTGTGTTTGATGTTGTTTTGATAGGTGTTTGTCGTGATTTTTTAAGAAAATGTATGCTTGGTTGAAAGAAGTATCCATTTTCCATAAAGGTTAAAAACTTGAATGCTTTTTTTTAGAAAACATTTAGAAACTTAGATTTTGTATGCAAAACATGTATGAATATATATATATATATATATATATATATGTATTACATTTATTGATAAATTACTTTTTAAAACATTAAAAAGACACACAAAGACAATCTATTAGAATTATTTGTAATAAATTAAATAATTCAATTATATAAAATATATTTTTAGTATAAAAATTCTATACACTTGTTTTGTAATATTTATAAATAATTACTAAAAACCATAATCTTATTTAATTTTCTTATTTTATGTTAAAATTTTCTTGTGTACAATACAAAAAATATTTGTTTTATTTGATCAAATTAATAAGATAAAAACCATTGTGGATCAAATTAAATTTAAACTTTCTTTTAGTACTTATTGAGAATATAATCATAATTAAATTTATAAAATATTAAATACTAATATATACATATATATATATATTTGAATTACATAAAAATATTATTTTAATAATTTTATTTTTACTTAGTATTAATTAAGAAAGTTACATAAATAAATAAATTAAATTTTTAAAAATTATCAAAATATAGATATAGTAATAAATCTTATAAAAAAAAGAAATATTTTTAATAATATTTTTTTCAAAATAAAATAAAAATAAAATAAATATTTTAACATATTACTAATTAAACAAGATTAAGATTTTTTCATTTATTTTTGAGCTATTTGAGTGTTTGATATTTATTAGAAATTTTTAATATATATATATATATATATATATATACAATAAGTATGTTTTTTTTAAATAAGTATATTGATAGATTAAAAATTATTTAATAAATAATCAAATATTAAAAATTAATAGTAATATATATATATATATATATATATATATACATACAATCATTCTAAATTATTAAAAAGTTTAATTCTTAAAGATTTTTATTTAAAAACGTATATGTTGTTTTAAAAATTTATTCTATTATCACATCAAAAAATACATATATTTTTAAAAAAATTAAGAATTTATTTTTGAAATCTAATTGTATATTTATTTTTATTTTTTCATTGAAGTATAAATGGTGTTCATTACAATGGATTTTAATAAATATTAAAGAATTATTCTGATATGTTGGTATAAATGTGATATTTTTAGACTTATTCTTTTAATAATAAATACTTTATAGACAAATAATTAGCCATATAACATTCAATACTCAAATTACATTTGTATCTATTATTGTAAGTTAGTATAATATAGATCACTATATTTAATAGAGTGAAGCAAAATCTACCTCTAGATTGGAGCCATAAATGATTATTTTTTATTATTTTTTATTACTTTTATAGTAGATAATGTAGTAGGTCATGATTTATATAATTTTATGAATAGATATAATCAAGTATCAATAGCTTAGTATAAGAGTATATTTATATCATCTTGAAAAACTTTTATATATATATATATATATATATATATATATATATAGTAATACATTTTGGCTTATACAATATTTCTTTAGCTTTTCAAAAGATCATAATTTTTGCATTCTCAAATCTTCTCCAAAAATCCATATAAATATTTATTGATATCTTAAGTAGTCAATCATCAAAAGATGATTATCTTAAAAGCCTTTAATTGTGCTTCCAATATTATATAAAAATAAGAATTTCTCTCAATCTAAAATAATTTACTTGGCATTTAAAAAATAAATTTT